GACCATACTTTTTTAGACATAATTTAAATTCTGCGGACTACCTACACTTTGTGAATACCGAACTATCTGAAGTTTTGGATAATATGCCCCTTCAAGTAAGAAATGTTGTGTGGTATCAGTGTGATGGTGCACCTATTCATACTACAAGGGTGGTTAAAGAGCGTCTTTTGGAAATATTTAGGGGCAAAGTAATCAGTCGCAATATGGAACACTTTTGGCCGCCTAGATCTCCTGATATAACCCCACTAGATTTCTTCTTGTGGGGTTACTTAAAACAAAAGGTGTATAAGCAAAGACCTTTTCGAGATATAAACCATTTAGAGACAGTTATTCGAGAATGTGTTGTAAGCACGAAACCCCGTAGTATAAAGAATGCAGTTAAAGATGTTTTAAAAAGGACAACATAAATCCACTTCACGCAGCCGTAACATCCATTCATCGAAGATGAACTCAGGATATGTAAACCTCTGGAGAAGCTAGCCACTCGCACCAGCGAAAGTTCAGGAAGAAATATCAGAAGTCGAAGGCCTTCAAACCCGAAAAATAGTGACACTGGCAACCTTTGTTGCTCAATGATAATGTTGTTTTCTACAAGTGAACAGATTTTCAAAATCAGTTGAATAGTTTTCGGTTTATTCATCACAAACAAAGGGAAAAATTAATATTTCGTCTCTATAATATCTGTTTAGAATGTAGATTATTATTACTTTAAGAATAATATTACAATGGGATTAGTGTAGGATTCATATGCTAGAAAATATCTGGATTGTTATTGGATTATCATTCAATTGATTCACATTCCATAGATTCTTTTCAAAGCAGGTCTAGTTATGAAATTAAACAAACCAATACAGATGTCTTTTTTATCTTCTCTGAGGTGAATATTATTGGAGATTTTCTCCATCACCAAACTGTTATTTCAACACATGGACACGTGTTTCGATCACCAAGTGATCATCTTCAAAAGGAAGATCAAAACTGTGAAGTAATGGGATCGTGACACTGTTCTTCACCGTCTACTCAATTAGTTCCATCATATTCCATATTGTTATTCTTCTCACATAAATTCTCAGTGAAACAAATATTTCTTCTGGAATTCCCAAGAGAATAATCACGTTCCGCAATACTATCTCACATCTGAACATACACCAGGGCGCGTCGCGTTTTGGAGAAATCCGGAAGGTCTTTAATTAGGGAAGTTCGACTCAAATTATTCCGAATAGAACGGACGTTAACGGGGAAAGTTTATTGGCAGATCTCAGTTTTCAGAGTTTCTGTGCGGATGAAGGAGTCATGAACTGCATGAGTCTTGGATAATGTTATGCAGAAAGTGCCCAGGGTAATGAATGCAACCCCCTGATGGTCCTAATAGCAGTCGAGTAGTTGAGAAGGATACTTGAATGGAGTCAAATTACGACCACGACAATTTTGTTTCCCAAAACACGTTAACTGAAAGTTGGATGAGTACACGACAGAACAAAGTCATTATGAAACTGCATTCATTGGACAGAGGAGATGATTTCTTTCCCAAAAAAGAAGTAGTATGGAACTAGTTGAGCAATCATTCTTTCAAAAATATTGGGTATATATGATGCGGATCAGTAGGAGAAAGTTACAATATAATATGAAACAAAGGAGACATGGACAAAAAATGACTTCATTGCCAGACAAGGACAAGAAAAATCTTTCAAATAACTATAGTTCAGTCACTTCGTTATCAGTGTTATTGAAACTCATGGAGAAAGTCGTAAAGCATCATATCCTCAAATATTTGGAAGGCTTCAATATCTTGAGCGATCATCTACATGGCTTTCGGAAACAATTATCAACAGGCGACCTTCTATCGTATGTCATCCATATTTGGAATAACGCAATCGAGAAACATGAGGCATCAAGAACTTTTGCGCTTGATTTTTCCAAGACCTTGGACCGTGTGAGGCATGAGGATTTGCTGGCCAAATTTCGATGCTATGGCTTGTCGAATCATTTTTGTGTATGGGTCTGCAACTCCCTTGAAGAACGTTTGTTGCAAGTGGCCGTCGATGGATATCCCTCGAATACTTTCACTATTAACGTTGGGGGATCCATTTTGTCTCCAACCCTCTTTTTATTGGATATCAACGACTCATTGGAAAATACCATGAATTCAATATATTGCTTTTCTGATGATAGCACACTTGTCTCGTTATTCCATTTGGATTCCAAGACATGGGCTACGGAGGCACATCGTCACCGGCAGCAGGAAGTTGCATATTTTAATGAGGATCTAGAAGTGATTTCGAATTGGGGTGAAAGTACCCAGGTTCAATTCAATGCCACACAAACCCAGGCATCGGGTTTGTGTGGCAAGGAAATGAATGTCTCCGAGCCGAATAGAATGATATCAGGTCAGAAAATTCCGCTTTCTGCTTCGATAAGTTTGTTGGGAGTTGAAATGGACACTAATATGTTTTGAACAATCATGTCGCTGAAATTGCAAAGGCTGCTTTTTATAAGCTTGGAACACTGTTCCGAACCAGAAAACTGTACACACCTCAGCAACTTTTGATGCTTTATAAAGCTCAGATCAGACCTTCTCTGGAGTATTGTTTTCATTAATGGAGCTCTGCCCTCAAACATACCCTGAAGTTGCTGGATTCCATCTAGGAAAGAGTCATCCGCCTGCTTGGAGACGCGAACATCATGTGCAACCTTGATAGCCTGGAACATCGAAGAAAGGTTGGACATTTGTCTCTCTCCCATAGATACTTTCACGGGAAGTGTTCAAGTGACTTGGCACATTTGATTCCATTGAGAGCAGTACATATCAGAAATACGCGATGGACTGTGGCTGCTCATCGTTTCGAGGTTTAACTCAGTGCATTACGAACTTTACTGTTCCAGAACGTTCTTCCAAATGGATTCAATCACCAGCGATTTAAATTAAATTCCTTTCGTGATAATTCTCAAACATTTCAATACACAATTTTAAAACTCTCGCAACTTATATACACTATTCGGTAGTAGTTTTTTTAAAGAAAAAAAAACACAAGCACTACAAAAAACTCCTTAAGTCGCTCTAAGAGCGGTGCCTGTGCGGAAGTAGAGGAAGTTCCAGACTATCAAGGTTGCAAGTGATGTTCGCGTCTCCAATCAGGTGGATGGCTTTTTACTGGATGGAATGCCGCAGCTTTAGGGTATGCTTAGGGGCGGAGCTCCATACATGAGAACAATACTCCAAAGAATCTATAAATCTATAAATCATTCTAGATCTATAAATCATTAAAAGTTGCTAGGTTGTGTACAGGTTTCTTGTTCGGAACAGTGCTCCTAGCTGTTGAGAAGTAGCCTTTGCAATTCCAGCGACATGATTGTGCCAAGGCATGTTGGTTTCCATTTTAATCCCCAACAAACTTATCGGAGCGATAGAATTGTCTATCCTGACATTATTATATCCGGTTCAGAAACATAAATCTTTTTGGAAAAAACCGATGTCTAGGTTTTTATGGCATTAAATTGAACCTCGTTAATTTCACACCAATTTATATATTCTATTTATAGACACATTCAAATTCTTATAAGAATAGTCATCACACTCAACGTAAAACCTTAAGTGAAACTACATATAGTTACACAAATGGTTCGAATATTTTTCAGAAAACTCAAACAGATTGTAAATACTAATCTT